ACATCGATTTTCCAATAAAATCTTCTAAATCTGTATTATCGACCTTAATTGAGTTCCGCCGTTGCTTTAGCATCCCCTTAAGTAAAGAGATAAAAATAGTTCTATCTCTTTCTCTCCTCTCTCTTCTCTCTCTCTCTTTCTCTCTCTCTATTTCATTACAGTTATTAGGGCTACGTTCCAAAACTTCCTCTCCGAGGAAGATTTTAGGGGTGATCCCGATTGACCACGGCTCGATTGGACACCACCAATCACAGCGACCGGTGCTTAGGAAATTTGTAGTCTCAAGCGCTGTGAGTGGCTCCATGAGCCGTGTCCAAATGGGTGCCACCCAGATTTTACTTTATATGCTGTAGTATACATTACGTGTACTATATATTTCGAGTAAAATTTTTCTCGGAGAGGAAGTTTTGGAACATAGCCTAGAATGGTTAAGTAAACCGACGATAGCCCTTAAGCTTAAGCCGTAATCACACTACAGACTCCCGACTCTGACTCGACTACTGATTCGGACTCCCGACTATCATTCTACCAATCACAGCAAGGCAGCAGCCGACTCTGACTGCCGACTCGAGAATAGAAATCACTCTATTCGATCGACTTTGAGTTGGGAGTCGGGAGTCAGAGTCGGGAGCCTGTAATGTGATTGTGGCTTTAGGGCCTCTTTCTCCAATTCCAATTAACATATAGAGTTTTTGGCCCGATCGAGTTTGCACCAACCTGAATTGGATTAATCTTTCTTATTGGTTGACGTCACCCGCTCTACCAATAGGAGAGCACAAAACGCCATTAATCCAACCTAGAGTCCTAGATTTATCAGAGAGGCGCAATCGGTGTTATGGATTCTGATTCGCTGTTGCAATCTAACCAATTGCTTGACTTGGCAGCCATTTATAGTATTAGTGACATATTTCTATTTCATTTTATCCTATACATTCTATCTCACATTATTCTACACGTCTTATCTTGTTTGACATAGTTTAAAGGTAGTTTCCTAGCATGTCGGCCATATTTAGTACTCTCCTTAGCACCTTTGTCATACTGACTTAAGCCGGTTGCGCCTCTTTGATAAATCTAGGACTCTAAACCAACCCAGGTTAGCGCAAACCTGGCCGGGCCAAAAACCCTATTAATCGGTCGATTAGTCCATCGGAATTGACCAATGTCATTTGTCATTTTATTTGACGATAGATGCGATTGGTCAATTCTAATGGACTAATCGGCCAATTAATAGCGTTTTCGGCCCGGCAGGTTTGCACCAACCGGGTGGCACCCAGTTGGACACGGCTCAATTGGACATGAGCCACTCACAGCGCTTGAGACTACAAAGCTCCTAAGCACCGGTCGCTGTGATTGGTGGTGTCCAATCGAGACGTGGTCAATTGGGATCACCCCGCACCAACCTAGGGGGCTCTATTCTTGAAAAGAAACGTATACGAAAGTTTAGGAAAATACTATAATATACGTAACGTATACTGTAGCATTTCCCTAGATTTTCGTATACGTTTCTTTTCAAGAATAGAGCTCCAGGGTACCTATCATGAAATATGTCAGAATGGATTCCGATCGGAATTATTCCATTTTCCCTAGAAAACACAATAGAAATCTAGGGAATAATTTAATATTTCCAATCGGAATCAATTCCGACTTGTTCTATGATAGGTACCCTGGGTTGGATCAATTGCGTTTTGTGCTCTCCTATTGGTAGAGCGTGTGACGTCAACCAATAGGAAAGATTAACCCCGGATCTACAATAGGGTTTTAAGCCTTAAGCCATAAGAAATGGGCGAATCACAATCGCTTATTCTTCTCGGATTCGACTGTAATTGGTCAGTTTCTTACGGCATAAGGCATAAAACATCTATTGTAGATCCGGACTAATTCAACCAAGGTTGGTGCAAACCCGATCGGGCCGAAAACGCTATTAGTTACAGCGTTTTCGATTGGGCAAAAGTTAGTGCGCACCAGTGCGCACTCAGTTTACACCAACACTGGACGAGTTCCATGGGTTGCACTGAATAGTGCAAGTTCAAAAGAATAAGCCAAGATTTTCAGTGCTAAAGCTGAAACTCATTTTTGTTCACTTTGAAGCAATGTTCAACAAAATGTTACAAAACCACAGTAAAAGATATT